ATAGATAGATAGATAGATAGATAGATAGATAGATAGATAGATAGATAGATAGATAGATAGCAATATTCCATAGTTATGTCAACATACTGAATTTGAATCCAGGACCAACTCTGCTTTTTGAATAGCAAAGCCTCTTGGCAAATCCTACTGTGTGATGTCACATTCTTTTCTGTCAATGCAGAGTTGCTGCTCAGTGCTGTTGGGAACTTTGATTCATGGATGGAGTTAACATGAATGAAAGACCATTTCCTTAGGCCCAGGCTCTGGTCTTCCTTAAAGAGCACAGGTTAATCGCATTTACTTTTATTTTAAGCAGATTTATTTTAATAGATTTTGGTTTTCGTTTTCGTTTTTGTTTTTGTATCACTCATGTTCTGCCCTGCATCCCTTCTGCTATCCTTCCTCAACCCTTAAAACAAAGTTGTTGTTGTTGTTGGTTTTAAGAAAAAGAAGATAGAGCATCTACTGTTGATAATGCTATATTCTTTCATGCAAAGAGTACCGAGAATTATGAAAATTGGAAGGCTAACCCTTGCTCTTTAGGAGACCATGATATAATTGTAGTGACACAGTCTAATGGAAGGAGAGGATCTAAGCCCTAGTCTGTTGTCAGAGCTAATGAGCTTGTGATGTCAGGCAACTAACTTAATCCATTCCTCAGTTTGCTGGTCTGTCAAGCAGGAATAACACCTACCTTACTTAACATGCTGTTACGTGGATATAATGAAACATACTTGGAAGCCCTCCATGCCTTCTCTGGCTGATACAAGAATATCAAAGAGGCAGTTGGATCATCCATCATCTGACCCTCACCCTTTCCTCATGACCAAACCATTTTGGTTTTAACTGTTACTTCTCTTTAATGACAATTTTTCTTCCACTTTCCCTTCATAATCTCCCCGTCTATAATGAGTTATTGCTTACAATGTGACAAACTGAACCTCACTGACTGGCCCATCCTGATTAAAAAAATACAGTGTAATGAATAAGAAAGTAGATAAAAAATAGTGGATAAGAAGATACTGTAAGAAACTAGAGAACTGTATAGATTTAGACTTACGTCTTTCTTTAGTTGGACTTATTTTCTTTGTTCTATATGCTGCATCCTGGGAAAGAAAAGATTGAGTCTGCTTAAGAAAGACTACATTTTTCTCTACATTCTTATATCAAAGTAAAGCCTATTCTGACTTGGTGACAAGTCTTTTCATAGCTCTGTTCCTCCATAGCTGTTGTCATTGTTTTAGTTTCAAATTAACCGTATTATTTACAACTTCCAGTTCTGATTTGTTGACTGTTATCCATTGCTGTTAATCTCCATGGGGTTGACTTAGCAGTGAAGCGGTACTTGGGTTATAGACTGAATCTTGAGAAAGTTCCTTATATAAGGGATGGCATAAGCTGAACAAGTCAGCCAAGGATCACAGATCTGGAGCAGGAAGTCCCTTCAAAGTCATCCTGTGCCACACCCTAATTTTACATATGAGAAAACTGAGAGGCCCAATGAGTTGAAATGATTTGTCATGTCACAAAGCTATCATGGCAGACCTAGGATACAGACCCATGCCTTCTAATTCCACATCAACCACTTTTTCTCACATAAAATATTGAATTCAAAGAGAGAAAAAGGAATAAATGGAAGAGAGTATTGCCAAGGAAGACCAAAAATTAAAATACTGTTTATTTTTTTTTTATTGGGATGAACCAGTCCAGTTTGTCACATTTTGAGCAATAACCCATGATAAATGGGGAAAGTATGGAGGTGGAGTGGTGGGGAAAATTGTCATCAAAGAAAAGTAAGAGTTAAAACCAAAATGGTTTGGTCATGAGGAAAGGATAAGGGATAGCTAACTGATGGATGACCCAACTGCCTCTTTGATATTCTTATATCATCCAGAGAAAGCATGCTAAGATATGCCTATGCTGACACATAAATATAGCCTGGACAAACTTACAGGAAGCAGTAGATAAGAGTCACACAGAAAAAACAGGTGAGGGTGGGTGATCTCTCTTGTGAGAGGGAATACCCGCTCATCAACTCATAGGTCATTTGGAGTATTTGAGAATGAAGGCTGGGGACATGGTCTTGTCTCAAAGAAGGATGGTGGGGGTGACCTAGCAGAAAGGTGGCTTTAGTGAAGTGATGGGGAAAGCAATCAGAATCCCTAACTTAATGTGAGGGGCAAACTAGATGCCTTACCCTCCAGAAATAACTTTGTATTTGTGCTGTGACTCTTTTGAATTTGTTCCCCTGTGTATGTGTGATATCCCCTCCCAGGACAGTGTAAGCCCTATAAGGGCAGCGACCATTTCATTTTTGTTGTGATGTCACCAGTACTTAACATAATGCCTTATAAACAATAAGCATTTAATAAATATCAGTTGAGTTTAATTGATTTGCATTGGAGGATCCCTGGGAGATGTATTTGTTTAATCATTAAATTAAAGATAAATGCCACATAAATAGGCACTGACATTTGTAATATAATGCAATTGTTTCTGTTCTTTTTTTTTTGTCTTAGCAACAAGAACAAGACCCCACAAACCTATACATCTCCAATTTACCCATTTCCATGGATGAGCAGGAATTGGAGAACATGCTGAAACCCTTCGGCCACGTCATTTCCACCAGAATATTGAGAGACGCCAATGGAGTCAGCAGAGGTGTCGGATTTGCCAGGTGAAATTCTTGCTCCAATAATTCAGTTATTTTTTCCTTCTTTGTTCCATTCAGTGTGCATTCCATTCCCCTGCTCAGAGTCTCAGAGCTGTGACTTTACAGAGTTGAAAGTGGCTTTCAGCCTATTGTGTGGGTGTTTCTGCCTTTGAACTGATGAATAACACCACGAACATATATCCATTCCATAGGTTAGCATATGTGTGCGTGGCATGCATGTGTGGGCAAATTCCTAGATATTTATGCTGTTTACCCCTCCTCCCTTTGTCTCTGCCTGCCTTTGTTTCAGCAAGCTCAGATCCTGCCAGGCTGTGACATAGATAATAAATGCCTAGTACCCAACAGCAAAATAACCCATGTGGTGAATAAAGTATTCAAAGGGTTTCACATAGATTTCCAAAGAAAGGGAGGTAAATTTCCCAGTAGGAAGGAAAGAGAGAAGGAGGCATATCTGGAGAAACCTAAATTGTTGGGAAGCCCCAAGGATTCCAGAGCCTTAAGAGAAGGTCAGGAGGAGCATTTGCATTTGAGAGGCCCAGGCTGCTTGGTTTTTGATGTTTTAGGCAGAACAGAGGAAATGCTGATAGCATTTCTGTCATAGATGGGGAAGGAGGGTGAGTTTTCATTTTAACTTTGAGGAAATGTTTACAAAAGGGAGTTGCAGCCAGGAATGCAGTTAAAATGATTGTCCCTGCTGTGCTTTCATGAACGTGAAAATAGGAAGGGCTGAAAAGAGGAAAAGAAATGGAGCTGGGAAGAAAAGGTAAGCCAGTGATTTTAGGGTTTGGGCTGTGGTCAATTGGCATTTTTCTGGGTCTGTGGCTAGCAAACTTGGTTCTCCTGCTTCCCTGATACCTGGGATTCAGTTGGGTATTTTGAAGAGAAAAAAAAAACCTTCTCCCTTGTGAATTTCCCTGGATTCATCCTTATGCATCTCAAGCATCATCTTCTCTAACCCTCTGATCCTTTGCCTATGCTCTGTGGTACCCTTTGAAAACTCATCCTAGAACTCTTCTTTTCATGGTCTTTCCATCTCTTTTTTTTCCCTCCAGATCCCTGGATCCTTCCAGAAGACACTCAGTCCCAGACCACAGTCTCTGGAGGAGAGTTTCTCCTCATCCCTCTAAGCTGGGAGGATGAGAAGTTTGCATACCCCTAATGCTACCAACAATTCATAAACTCCTCCCCTTAGATTTACTCCATCTTTCTCTGTCACCCAGCCTAGGCCCTTCTTCTGTCATCCCCCAGTTCACTTTCAGTTCCTTTCTTTAGTTCTTTGTCAGTCTTCTCCAGGACCCATGCTTGGCACCTTCAAAAGACATGTCAGTGTCTTCCCCCCAGACCCTAGCTTCCTTGAGTCCTACATCTTTCCACCTTAGCCATCTGAAGACTTAAGCGTGACTTAGATGTCACTATGACAGGGAGGTGGTACAGTGGATAGAGTGCAAGGCCTGGAGTCAAGAAGAGTCTGGCCTCAGACACTTACTGGCTTTGTGACCCTGGGCAAGACACTTACTGGCTTTGTGACACCTGGGCAAGTTACTGTTTACCTCAGTTTCCTCATCTGTAAAATAAGCTGGAGAAGGAAAAGGCAAACCACTCTAGCATCTTTCCCAAGAAAGTCCCAAAGAGGGCTCATGAAGAGTTGGACATGACTGAAAAATGACTTAAAGATGCCTCCATCATCAATAATTATGTGTCACTGCCATCATCTTGAAATTTGAAATTACCTTCTCTGAAAGTCATCTTCTGTTCTTCCATCTCTTTCTCCATCATTCCTTCTAAACCCATTCTTCTTGATCACCATAACCTCTAGTCCAGGGCTACTTAACTCCTTTTTTTTTTTCTGCCATGGACCCCCTCTGCAGAAGTCTGGTGAATCCATTGAATCTCCCATTCAGAATAACACTTTAAATGCATAAAATAATATATGAAGAATTACAAAGAAACCATTTATATAAAAATAGAGTTCTCTATTTCTATCTATATCTATATCTATAGAATTTTTATGCCAAGTTCACGGACCACAGGTTAAGAACTTCTCTGGTCTCTCTAGTTTCCTGCTCTCTCTTCACTCTCCTTTCTTTACAGACTTCATTTTATGTTTCACTGTTCCAATGCTATATTGCTCTTTACGCATGAATCCTTTAGCGTCCAGATGCCTAGTGGATAGAGCTTGGCTCTGAAGTTAGGGAGGCGAGTTCAAATCTTGTCTTAGACACTTATAGCTTTGTGACTGTGGGCAAGTCACTTACCCTCTCTTAGCCTCAGTGGCCTCACCTATAAAATGAAGATCACAGTTTCTACTTCCCGGAGTTGTTGAAGGAATAAAATGAAATATTTGTAAAGTAGTTTATAAGTCTAAAGTACTATTCTATTTATTATTATTATTATTATTATTATTATTACTCCCTTATCCTACTAGGAGAAGGACATGGTATAATAATTTTAGAGCTAGAGAACACAGAGTTCATCTACTCTGACTTCTTTATTTTACAGATAAGCAAGCCAAAATTCAGAGAGGTTAATTGACTTATCCTGGGTCACATAGCTAATAGGTATCAAAGGCAGGATTTAAAGCTAGGTTTTCTTACTCCAAGTTAATGATTTGACCCACTCTTCCATGCTGCCTCTTAACTACAGAACTAAATGATGGGTGTGATTGCTGTTCTATTGGCAGCCATTTCTGAAAGGTGGTGATCAAGAATGGGAGAGATGCCACTGTACTGAAAAAAGGGCAAATATTGAACCACTTTTCTAAGAGGAAAGAGGGTTATCTACAGACTAGAGGTCAGGGAGTTTGACATCAGTTCCTGGCTTAAAATTACCAAGAATCAAAGTAATTGTAAGACATATATTTTAAAAGGATTGTTTATATTTGGAATGGGGGGAGGAGTTTGGGGAGCTGTGATCAGAAGGACTGAACCTTGCTACATCAAGTAAAAGGTCATGTCAGATAGATCTTGTTTCATTTTTTGATAGGGTCACTAGGCACTCAGTCACTCAACATGCATTTGTTTTTTGTTTATTTTATTTTTATCTTTAAACAAGAAAGACAAAAATACTGACTAATCATAGGAATACTATATGCATAGTATGTAACCACATTTCAGCAAAGCTTTCATGTTATCCTTGTGTGCAAGATAGAATAATGTGTCGTATAATATTGTTAGGTGGGTTTAAAACAGATTTAAGGATTGCACTTAAAGACTCCTCATTAATGAATTCATGTCAGGACATCTCCGTTGGAATGCTTTAGGCAACTGTCCTCTGCTCTTTGCCGTGGAATATTTTTATCAGTGACTGGAATGAAGATATCAATGACATGCTTATGAGATATGCAATTGACACGGAGAGCTAACACGTTGGATGACAGAGTCAGGATCGGAAAAGATTATGAGGTTTTGGCCTTCTTGCTATGGTGTTAAATATGAGAGAAGAGAATCTTGATATTGAAAAAGTATTCCAACTTCTCACTCATTGTGAGGTAGAGGACAGTGAGCTCCCCTAGAGCAGGACCTGCTGTGTCCCATTTGGTTTGGTTGGAGGATAATATGGTACTGGTTGATAATTTCTTGTAGATAGGCCATAATCTTGTTAAAATTATGGAGAAGTCATGGTTCTTACTTTAGCTTAAAGAAGATAGGTAGATACTTAGTAACTAGTGCCTTCTCTTTCAGTTTACCTTCTATCTTCTTTGGGTGTATTTCATATGCTACTATGTATTGACATATTGTTTCCTCCACTAGAATGTGTGCTTCATGAGGCCAAGGACACTTAATTATTTCTTTGTATTCCCAGTATTTAGCAATAGTAATACTTAATAAAAGCTTGTTGGTGGGTGATTGGTTAATTCCAATGTTCATGACTGAGTCAAATACAAAGTATATGATTGAGGGTCGAGGATTGTAAGATCTAAGAGCTGGAAGGGACCTTGAAGGTGGTCTATCTTAATCCATTTCTTTTAGGTAATTGGGGTTAAGTGATTTGTCCAGGGTCATACAGCTAGAAAGTGTCAAGTGTTTGGTCTGAGGCCGGATTTGGACTCAGGTCCTCCTGACTTCAGGGCCGGTGCTCTATCCACTGCGCCACCTAGCTGTCACCTAGCTGCCCCCAATCCCTTTCTTTTATAGCTGAGGTAACTAAGATCCAAGAAGTAGGAGTGACTTATCCAAACACACAGAAGTAGTCCCCAGCAGACTAGGTATTCTCAGAGGGAGGACAACAAACAGTGATATCATGCACTTGGCATTATCATCCCTACAAATCATTTGCTCTCCTAGAAAGCCAGTATGCCTCCAGCTCTGCTCTAAGAATTTGTTGGTTTGGCTGGAACAGCAAACTCGTAACTGTGTCGGCTTCAATTGCTGTCCATAGCTCATTTATGAGTGTCCAGAGCTCTGAGTTCTCACTAACTGGTTCAATATGCATCATGATTACAATTGGTCATTTTCAACCCTTTCCAACAATGTGATTCTCATTCCCTGTGACTGTGCCTCAATCCCTAACCTATGTGAAAGGGTGGGAGGGAAATCTTCATTATTGTGTTATTTAGAAGCAACAGTGCATCTTCTTCCATAGCAACATCTCTTATAGCAGCAGAGGGTTTCTCATTTTATTTTGAAAATGCCCTACTTCAAAGTATCACTGATCTTTATGTTAGGAAGGCCCATGGGCTGCTCAATTATAGGCCTTTGAAACCTCCAGAAGCAACCAAAAAGCACCAGCAATTAGGAACATCCTTTTATTCATTTTTTTTTTTTACTATTCTTTTACACTCTTGTAACTTAAAACAACTTTGTAAGATTCACCCCCCAGGCGACATTTTATGGCCAGGTCATAAACCTTTGAAAATATAAGTTTATGATGGAAATGCTGACAGTCTTATCCTTAGCCACCACTGTGAGCATTTGTGGCAGGCGCCAGCAGAATAACTTACCTGTGAGTGTGGAGATCACAGCATAAATCAGCCCCAGCCTGGGGAGAAATTTTTGCGTATTTGT